TTACCCTCTATTTTTTTTAAATGTCTATTTACTTTTGAGAGAGCGAGACAGAGAAATAGTGTGAGATGGGGGAGGGGCAGAGAGGGAAATGCAAAATCCGAAGCTGGCTCCAAGCTAGAGCTCACAAACTGTGAGATCATGACCTGAGTCAAAGTCGGATGCTTAACAGGCTGAGCCACCAAGGCATCAAGGTCCTAACCCTCTTTAAAAAGAAATAGATACTTAAAACTCACCACTTCCTGGGGTGTCTGGCTGGTTCAGTTGGTAGAGCATGTGACTCTTGATCTCAGGGTTGTGACTTTGAGCCTCATGTTGGGTATAGAGATTTCTTTAAAAATTTAAATTAAAAAAAGAGTCTTAAAAAAACAACAACGCATCTCTTCCTCATTATTTTACCACAGTTTACTATTATCAATGCTCTTGACTTACTGTGTTTGTGTGGTATGGTAAAATATTAAATCATAATTGCACAAACAACTATAAGAATTCCAGTTGTGGGGCACCTGGATGGCTCAGTCAGTTGGGCCTTCCGACTTCAGCTGGGGTCATGATCTCACACTTTATGGATTCGAGCCCCGCGTTGGGCTCTGTGCTGACAGCTAGCTCCGAGCCTGGAGCCTGCTTCTGATTCTGTGTCTCCCTCTCTCTCTGACCCTCCCCTGCTCACACTGTCTCTCTCTCTCTCTCTCTCTCTCAGAAATAAATAAAACATTAAAAATAATTTTTAAAAAATTCCAGTTGCTCTGATATCCTCACCAGCACTTGGTATTGTCAACAGGCTTTGTTTATTTAGCCGTTCTGGTAACTGTGTAGTAGGATCTCACTGTGGTTTTAATTTCCATTTCCCTAATGACTAATGATGTTCAACATCTTTTTATGTGCTTACTTGCCAAGAGTGATGGATTCAAAACTCAAGTCTAATCATGTCACTCCCTTTCTTAGAACCCATAAAAGAGGGCTTTGGCTGCTTCCATTTTGACCTCAAACTTTCTAGTTGGCTTCTTCATTTCAGCTTGACTTTGGGCTCCAGTGAAAGACCCTGAGGCAAAGCATCCATTGAAGGACTCCAAAATGACCCCTTCAAGCAATAAGTACTGTCCTGATCCAGCAAAACCCCCACCCATGATTGACTCCAAGACAGTGATCCATTGGATCTTCACTGCCTACCTGCATGTACCCACCCACCTTTGTCCTGAAATTTCCTTATATAAACACGGGAGTGTTTTCCACACTTGGAGATAGTCTTTAAGATGCTAATCCACTGTCTTCCCAGATGGTGGCCTCACTGAAATAAACTCCTTTCTTGTTTCCCTACCACAAGTTTATCTGCCTTTTGGTTTTGTCACCAATGAGTGGCTGTGTCCCTGCACCCTGTCTACACATCTATGTTGCATCAGTGAGGAAGTCTGTAGCACTAAATGGCGCTCTGCAAATACTGGAGTTTTAAAAATATGGATTGATTCAACCTCATCTCATAATGAACCTATTTCTATCTCTCAGGGCTCCCCAGGCATGTGTTGGCCGTGACAAATTTTCCCTGAGCCCTGATCCCTTTGTGTCCAAACCTTCAGGATCAGAGATAAGCTAAGATAGAAAGAGAAAAGAGCAATAGAGAACAATCAGCTGTATTAAGATTTGGCATACAAAAAAAAGTCTATTGGACGATTGTTTCAGTTACCTTTTGCTATCTCTTTTTAGAGAGGAGCCCTATGTTGATGTCTGTCACCTGTTTCCTAAAAACAAACACAAGAACCAATCTCTAAGCAAGGATCATCCATCTCAGCTGCCCTTTCTTCCTGGTTCTTGGACCTTCCTTCTGTGCCACAACCCTGAGATCAAGACCTGAGGTGAGATCAAGCATTGGACATTTAACCAACTCAGTCACCTAGGCGCCCCAGGCATATAGCTTACTTAAGAAAAAAAAAAAAAGATAATCTAGGTCCAGGATGCATGGCAATACCCCAGTGTGGCAAGCATTACATCTTTGTGCCCAAACTCTGACTCACCTTCAGTTTGATTTCTTCTGAACCTGTGGCAACAGGATTGCTTAAGCTTCCCAGTCTATATTCCTTACTACTTAGTAACTCCAGCAGCCCTCTACTATACAAAGGGTAATCCCTTTAGTCCCTTGGTTTTAAATAACATCTATATGCTGATAACATCTCAAACATGTATCTCTAACCCCAACATCCCCCGTGATCTTTAGGCTCACAAGTCTACTTAAAGGGTAAGAAGCAGAACTCTCAATTTCCCATTGTCCCCCTCTCCTCTAGGGAAATGGTTCTGTCAGCCACACTGTTGCTCATGCCAAAATTCTAGCTATCCTTCTTTACTTTTTCCCTTAATTTCTTTCTTCTTTCTTTCTTTCTTTCTTTCTTTCTTTCTTTCTTTCTTTCTTTCTTTCTTTCTTTCTTTCTTTTCTTCTTTCATTATTTTTCCTTCTTTTCTTCTTTCTTTTCTTTTTCTTTCTTTCTTTCTTAGAGAGAGAGAGAGAGGGTGTGTGTGTGTGTGTGTGTGTGTGTGTAAGCAGGGGAGAGGGGCAGAGAGAATCTTAAGCAGGCTCCATGCCCAGTGCAGAGCCCAATGCAGGGCTCAATTCAGGGCTCAACAAGGGGGCTTGATCCCATGACCGTGAGATGATGACCTGTGCCAAAATCAAAAGAGTCCAAGGCTTGGGGCACCTGGGTGGCTCAGTCGGTTAACAGTCTGACTTTGGCTCAGGTCATGATCTCATGGTTTGTGGGTTCGAGCCCTGCGTTGGGCCCTGTGCTGACAGCTGGCTCAGAGCCTGGAGCCTGCTTCAGATTCTGTGTCTCCCTCTCTCCCTGACCCTCTCTTGCTCTCTCTCTCTCTCTCTCAAAAATAAATAAAACATTAAAAAAAAAAAAAGAGTCCAAGGCTTGAGTGACTGAGCACGCAGGTGCCCCCATTCCTTTTTTTTCTTGTCCTTAATTTCCTACCCTCATTTTAGCAAAATGAGGAAACTGGTTTGACCCAGTATTTCTACACCACCACTGTCTTTGTCAAAGCACCATTATCTCCATAGGATCATTTCCATATCTTCCTCCCTGCTCCCACTTTGATCCCCTACTTCACAGAGTAGCCAGGATAAGCCTCTAAAAACTAGAATCATGGGACACCTGGGTGGCTTGGTTGGTTAAGCATTTAAGCATTTGACTCTATCTCATATCAGATCTTGATCTAATGATAGTAAATTCAAGCCCCTCATTGGGCCCTGCACAGGGTGTGAAGCCTACTTAAAAAAGTAGAAAATAAGTGGGGGGGGGGGGAAGGGAAAATAAATGAAAACCAGAATCATATCAGAACACTCCTCTACTTAAAACACATCAGGGGCGCCTGGGTGGCTTAGTCGGTTAAGCGTCCGACTTTAGCTTAGGTCATGATCTCGCGGTTCGTGGGTTCGAGCCCCGCGTCGGGCTCTGTGCTGACTGCCGGCTCGGAGCCTGGAGCCTGTTTCGGAGTCTGTGTCTCCCTCTCTCTCTAAAACCAACACCAGCTCAAGCTGTCTCTCTCTCTCCTAGAAATAAATAAAAATATTTAAAAAAAAACCCCACATCAATGGCTACCCACTACCCTCTGAATAAAATACAAATTTCTCCCCATGGCCAATGGAAATTCCATGCATTCATACCTGTGTGAGGTCAAATTTTCTTCACATAAGCAAAACAAAATCTCATAACAGCTTGAAAGCACAAGCAGATGTGAGAATCCACCTGTCTTGTATTAAGCCAGACATTAAAGAAAATTGGGAAGATATGAAATAATGCACTATTATCCTGTATATATTTTTTGGTTTTGAAAATACAAGTTATTTTTTATAACATGAAAAGTTTGCTCATGTTAGTTTTAATTCCTATACAATATTGTATGGCTTGGAAGAGTCTCTTGAAAACATGGGGGTCTCAAGCTGAGACCAGATTGGCCTACAGGCCTCTAGTACAAGGATGAAAGGCTGATGAATGTCCCTAATTCTGGCTCGATCTCTTTGGAGGGCTTGGCTGCAGAACAAAGGGAAGATGCTTAGTGTGGTGGTTGAAGGGGTGCATAGTAGTTGAAGGGCACTAAGTAACAACCACAGTAACCCTGTCAACACATTGCCCTGGTCAGAGAAGAGGCAGGTATCTTTGCCTCTCAACCTATAGCCCTTTCCTCTGGTTGCCTGAGCATTCTCAAAACATTTCCTCAGAAGTAACCACGCTTTGGGGACAACTGTTTGGCTCAGTTGGTGGAGCATAAGACTCTTGATCTCAGTGTCCTGAGTTCAGCCCCTACGTGGGACATAGAGGCTACTTTAAAAAGCAAAACTAAACTAACCACACTTTTTTCTCCTATCCTGGGAAATTTTAGGGCCTTGAGCCCACTCCCTCCCTTCCAACAGCACCTCTGGCTGCTCCAGACCCAGAGAAGGGCACTCTAATTACTCTCCATTGTAAACTGACTAGAGATCAGGCTAAGGACCCCACGAGAGCATTCGTGCAGCTGCCAGTTCTCAGACACCATCGTTACTGAGCCAGGAGCCTGGAACCATCAGATTGGGGATAGTGAAGCAAAAAGGCATCTTATCATTTTTGAGGGAAGAGGGGACCTTCAAGAGACACCTGCAGTTCACAGAGGCGTAGCTATTGCCCGCCGTTACGGCAGAGCCCGGACAGGAGTCAGGCCCCCTGGGTACTACACCAGTTTGTCGGTTCTCCCTTTCCCGGTTGCCCTGGGCATCACCCTCAGCGGGGTGGCGGGCCGCGCGCCCCGCCCAGAGGGCGTCACGCTCATCTCCATGGAGCCGGTCCCCGCCCTCCTACCGCCTCAGGTAGATGGAGAAGCTCAGCCAATCAAGAGGTCTCTGAGGCAAAGAAGGCGGGACGAGGAGGAAAAGTTTAGGACAGGAGCGCCAGCCAATCCTGAGCCTCGCTGCCTGAGCAACGGCCACCAGCACTCCCTGGCAGACGCCACTCAGAGCGGGGGGATGGCTAGTGGACACTGAGCCAATCCGTGCCGAGGGACGGCTAACTTGAGCCAATTAAAACTGAGAAGGTGGGAAGGGGCGGAGTTCGCCGGTGGCTGCTCGCTGGTGGGTGAAGGATCAGCTTTCTCTGCTAGTTCCCACCCTAGGACTTCTTAGCTCCTGGAATGCGAGAGAGAGAGAGGCTCAGGGGAGTTCCTGGAGTGGGGCTTGGAGGTATCTCCCGGGAAGGCCTGGAAGCAAAAGAGACTCCTAGTTGGAGGAGCTGCTGGAAGCCACCGGGTGGGCATTGAGGAAGCGGGGGCTGGTTCGGAGGCGGGACTTCCGGGGCGTGGCCTTCACGAGCGGGGGCGGGGCCTACGGCTAAGGCTGTGCCGAGGGGGTGGAGCTAAAAGGAGACCACTGGGTGTGACCTAGGAGAAACAAGGGTAGTGGTTTAAGCGGGCGTCTTGGGGTCAGGACGGTGTTGCCAGAGGCTTTGGAGTGGCCAGTGATAGCTCAGGATTGTCGTTAAGGTTGCTGGGGAGGCCACCTGCCCTAACTTACTGTCCTTTCTTCCCAGGGAGCCACTGGTGGGGACCTTTCTAGGGTCCTTTTCTCTCCGTGGGGTGCTATGGAGTTCCCAGAACACAGCCAGCAGCTGCTGCAGAGCCTCCGAGAGCAGCGGTCCCAGGGTTTCCTTTGTGACTGCACCGTGATGGTGGGTAGCACCCAGTTCTTGGCCCATCGGGCTGTGTTGGCCTCCTGCAGCCCATTCTTCCAGCTTTTCTACAAGGAGCGGGAACTGGACAAGAGGGATCTGGTGTGCATCCACAATGAGATTGTCACAGCCCCAGCGTTTGGGCTGCTTCTGGACTTTATGTATGCCGGCCAGCTGGCCCTGAGGGGGGATACCCCCGTGGAGGATGTGCTGGCCGCTGCCAGCTACTTGCACATGAATGACATCGTTAAAGTGTGTAAGCGGCGCCTGCAAGCCCGGGCCCTGGCAGAGGCAGACAGTACCAAGAAGGAGGAGGAAACCAACTCGCAGCCCCCTAGTTTGGAGTTTTTGTCCCACCCTCCCCGCGGCCCCCAGCCTTCGCTGGCATCTGCTGAGACATCAGGCCACTGGGGCAAAGGGGAGTGGAAGGGCCCTGCGGCTCCCTCACCGACCGTCTGCCCTCCAGATGAGCCGCCGGTGTCCGGTGGGGCGGACACAACACAGCCTGGCGTGGAGGTTGACCCCCCACATCTACGGGCCCCCCCTCCCCCAGTGGCTGATGTCTCCCTTGCCAGCCCCAGTAGCTCCACAGAGACCATTCCTGCCAACTACTTCTCTTCTGGCCTTCCAGCAGTTTCAGTGGAGCCGCTGGCTCCCCTCGATGTGGGTACCGAGGGTCTCAGGATGGTGGAAGCCAGGGGTGCTGGAGCGCCGTTGCAAGGCTTCTACCCTCCAGCTCCAGCGGCGGCCCCGGCCCCGGCTCCATCCCAGGCTCCAGCACCAGCGGAGGCTGAGCTGGTCCAGGTGAAAGTCGAAGCTATTGTGATTTCTGATGAGGAGCCCGAGGTGTCAGAGACACCTCAGGGGCCTGAGGGACTCTTCCCACCTGGGGGAGCCCTGTTTGGCGGACAGCCCCCGCAGCCCGAGGCCTTTGAGGAGCCCAGGGCGGCGGGACTGGAGGAGGTGGGGCCCAGTGACCACTTCCTGCCCCCAGATCCTCACCTACCCTACCATTTGCTGCCAGGCCCAGGGCAGTATCACCGAGGACTGGTGACCTCGCCCCTGCCCGCGCCCCCGGCCCTGCACGAGCCACTTTACCTGCCTTCTGAGTACGAAGCGAGCCCGGGAAGTTTTGGAGTTTTTACGGAGGATGTGCCCACTTGCAAGACGTGTGGGAAGACCTTCTCTTGTTCTTACACACTCCGGCGCCACGCCACCGTGCACACACGCGAGCGACCCTACGAGTGCCGCTACTGCCTGCGCAGCTACACGCAGTCAGGGGACTTATACCGCCACATCCGCAAGGCTCACAACGAGGACCTGGCCAAACGCAGCAAACCGGATCCAGAGGCGGGCCCCCTCCTGGGAGTGCAGCCCCTCCAGGGCTCCCCTACCGCAGACAAACAGAACAGCGGTGGTGGAGGGCCACCCAAAGATTTTGTACTGGGCCCCAAGAACTGATGGCGCCAAAGAGCAGAAGCCGAGGCCAGGCCTGCTCTTCCCATCATCAGAGGGCAGCCCAGGGTGGAAGCCTCTCACTTCCCCTGCGGGGGGCGGGGTGGGGAGTGCGGGGAGCAGAAGGGAGCAGAAGGAACGTTGTGCCCAGGCTGAAGATTCCTGTCGCCTGTCCTTTGCCCAGCCAGGCAGCAGGACCCTATGGGGCCTTGCGTCTCAATCAGCTCTTCTCCAAGGGCACTGGGAATTTTGCTGAGGTGTAATCACTTCTCTCCCTGCATCCCGGACCATAAAGCTAGCAGTGAAAGTATCTCTTTGAACTGGTGTTGGCTGGTTTATTCCCCAGACCCGCGTGCCTCCTGATTCTTTCATGACTCTCCTGTGGCTCTTTTAGGAATTCGACATCTGTACCAGGAGTACAGGAGTCGGTCAGGACGCTTCTGAGGGAAAAAGGGAGATGGGCAAAGGGCAACCGTAGACTTGACCTGACTTAGGGGAAGTGTGCTAATTAGGGACTCTTACAGGATGATGGGTTACTGTAGTTGAGCTCCTGTGTCCTGGGCTGTATTGAGGACTTCAGAAAAAATACTCAATTCCCAACAATTTTATGAGGTGTGAGCACCCCTCCCCCACTCCACCCCTCGCTTTCCTTTTTCCACAGACAAGGACACTCGAGACTCAATGCTTATTTTTTTGAGGGAGAGCGAGCGAGCGTGTGCATGGGTGAGAGGGGGGAGGGGCAGAGAGAGAGGGAGACATAGAATCTGAAGCAGGCTCCAGGCTCTGAGCTGTCAGCACAGAGCCCGCTGTGAGGCTCGAACTCATGGACCACGAAGTCATGACCTGAACAGAAGTCAGATACTTGACTGACTGAGCCATCCAGGTGCCCCCACTCGAGACTCAAAAATCAAAGTTAACTTATTCAAGGTCACAGGGCTAGTGAAGGGGCAAGCCAGAATTTGAGTCAGGGCTTCCAATGCCATGCGCATAGCGCTGAGTTGGAACATGGGTGAAGATAATTAACCAACAACTAGTTTTCTCTTTTGTCCTCTTGAGTGTTTGGCTTCGCTCCCTTACCCCATTACCTCTACTTCCAACATAGAAGATCTTTGGCTGACTGTTTCAACAACAGATGCTGTGTTGATTACTTGACATTCTTGCCTGTGGGTCATAATATGAATGAGGTCTCTGAAGATATAGGGAACCAAAAGGCAGAAAGCATGAAGCTCCAGGGTGGTGGGCTTGTGGTATGGACAGGATGGGCACTTGGGAAAAACTAAAAGCGAGAAACTCCAGACAGAATCTTATCATTCCTCTGGTCCAACTCCCTTACCTAGAAAGAATGAGGACAGCCTAGAGAAGTCCGATTCCCCAGCCGTGGTCACACAGGTCGTTGGTTATTGGCAGTGGAGACAGCAGAGAAATAAGGAGTCTAGAGTGTTGATGTGGGTTCTGGGAATGTAAGAGAAGGGCCTGCCCCGATGTGTATGAAGAATAGGGCCATGGGGTAAGAGGGCTCCAGAAAAACCCTTCTCTCTCCTGCACATGAAGAACTGAGTGCAAAAAAAAAAAAAAAAAAACCAACACAGGAAGGAAAATTTAAAGAAAGATGGAAACAAGTAAATTTTCTGAATTTCTTTTCTCTTTTTTTGGATTTGTCTGTCACATCCAGCACTGTGAGCTCTTGCCAGCAAGCTACTGTTTTTGAATTAGAAGAAGGTTTGGCCAAAGAAAAGCTCCTTATCTGGGGCAGTAAGGGAAGCAAACGTTGACAGTTAACATTTTCATGGCTGAATGAATTCTATGCCTTTCGCTTTCCTCGTGTTGCAATAACCTTTTAGTTTGTCTTCCAAATGGCTAATTTAATTTGTGCAAATACACTCTTACCTTAACTACTTGTTGTAATAACACAAGATCCACATGCACACACAATGAGTTGTTCTAGCCGAGTGGAGCAGCTTTTCCAGTCTTTCCTGGAGTAAATATCAAATAGGGGCGCCTGGGTGGCTCAGTCGGTTAAGCGTCTGACTTCGGCTCAGGTCATGATCTCACGATTCGTGGGTTCAAGCCCCGCATCAGGTTCTGTGCTGGCAGCTCAGAGCCTGGAACCTGTTTCAGATTCTGTGTCTCCCTCTCTCTCTGGCCCTCCCCTGCTCATGCTCTGTTTCTCTCTGTCTCAAAAATAAACTATAAAAAAAATTTTTTTTAAATCAAATCAAAATGCCTAAAAACGGTCAGTTGGCTTTCAAAGGGTACATTTTATGGTATGTGAAGAATATAAAAATTATACATAGATAATTATATGTGGAGAGACATAGAAGAACTCCATTGTCTCAGAACATTAGTTCCTAAAAGCATGGTATAATATCTGTGTCTACGCGTGTATATAATGTATACAACTTCTCCAGACAGTCTTGAGAACGTAAACCATTGCCATTGTCACTGTCTCAGCCACGTGGATCTGTTACTTAGTGAGAGTGTCCTCAAGGGGAGGCACCTGCTTTCGGTTCCCAGCATAAGATGCATTTTTCACCTCATGGAGATGGCAATTAGAATCTGCAAGATGTTCAAAGCAGCAGGGCGCCTGGGTGGCTCAGTTGGTTAAGCAGCTGACTTCGGCTCAGGTCAGATCTCGCGGTTAGTGGGTTTGAGCCCCGCATCAGGTTCTGTGCTGACAGCTCAGAGCCTGGAGCCTATTTCGGATTCTGTGTCTCCTTCTCTCTTTGCCCCTCCCCCACTCATGCTCTGTCTCTCTCTCTCTCTCTCAAAAATAAATAAACTATAAAAAAAGTTAAAAAAAAAAAAAAGATGTTCAAAGCAGCGGCCAACGCAAAAGGCCACAGTTGTCTCACTTTCTCTGCTGGACGCCCGAAGAGTTCCTGCTGGTCTGCAGAGGTATGATTAATAGAGAATTTTCTCGTTTCCACTGCTCTCGATGGTCTAAACCATGAAGTCAAGGAACCACAGGTGAGCTCATCTAACCTCTGGTCCAACAATGGATCCTCGGGGTTGTGAGTTCAAGCCCTACATTGGGTGTAGAGATTACTTAAATAATCTTTAAAAAGAAAAATAACTCACTATCCCCAAAGGAAACCTAGTCTATTGTTGGACAGCCCTAATTGTTGGATAATGCTGCTTTCTACTGAGCCCAAATCAGCCTCTTTTGAGGAGGGTATGCGCCAGGCTCCACCTATTAAGAGTTTCACCTGAGAATTGTTTTTGAGCTATAAGCTGACTTAAGTTTCACTCTTTGCTCTCTAGCTTTAGAGATAGATTTCTAATTCAGGATTTCAATTCTTTTCTTGACTGGCGATTTTATAAGTGTATGGCTTCACTTGCTGTCTATTGTCTCTTCAATCACTGGACATTCGGCCAAGCTTAGCTTCACAAAAGTCACCATTTCAGTCCTTGGCATTGGATTTTGACTTTGTTTTTAAATAATCTCTATGCCCAACGTGGAGCTCAATCTCAACGCCGAGATCAAGAGTCATAAACTCTATCGACTGAACCAGCCAAATGCCCCTGGATTTCAATCTTAATTTCTCCAAAGCCAATGTTTCCAAAGATGGTTTACCTGGTCATGTACTATTTTTATTGTAAAATATACTTACTTTTACATTTTGTTTTGTTTTTTTTTTTTCCTTTGGGAAATGATATAAAGTGTTCCAAAGTCCCCTCCCCAATTATAGTAAGCAATTTTGGTATTCATCTCTGTAAGAACCCTTGGGAAAGAAAAAAAGACCAAATACCATGATCACACTCAACAAAATGATAATAATTCATTTTTTTCATCTCCCTGACCTTTTTTTTTTACCCCAGTAAGCTCAATGCCTAACATGGGACTTGAACTCACGAGCCCAAGATTAAGAGTCACACATTTCACCAACTGAGCCAACCAGGCACCCCTTGCACCAATTTTTATTCAAATTTCTGCTTATCTTATAACCTTTTATTCACTCACTTATTTAATGATTTTAAGTAATCTCTACCCCCAACCAGCTGCCCCATCTCATAAACTTTGTTGTTTTCTTTTTAAATCAGTCCAAAGTAGAGTCACATTTATTTAATGTCTCTTAAGCCTTTTTTTTTTTTGTAATTTAGTTCAACATTCTTTTGAAAGGTTTTTTTTTTTTTTTTCTCATAAACTTTGTTGTTTTCTTTTTAAATCAGTCCAAAGTAGAGTCACATTTATTTAATGTCTCTTAAGCCTTTTTTTTTTTGTAATTTAGTTCAACATTCTTTTGAAAGGTTTTTCTTTTTTTTTTTTTAAGTTTATTCAGTTTCTTTATTTTGAGAGGAAGAAAACGCATCTGTCCGTGTACGAGGGGCAGAGGAGTGAGAGAAAATTCCAAGCAGGCTCTGTGCTCTTAACAGAGCTTGACTTGGGGTTCAAGCTCATGAACCATGAAATCACTACCTGAGCTAAAATCAAGAGTGGGATGCTTAACCAACTGAGCCTCCCAGGAGCCTTAAAATTTTTCATTTATAAGTAATCTCTACATCCAACATGGGGCTTGAACTCGTGACCCCGAGATCAAGTCACATCTTTTCAGACTGAGCCAGCCAGCCGCCCCTTAAGCCTTGTTTTGTTTTTTAATTTTAGAGAAGGTGTACACACGAGCTGTAGTGGGGGGAGACGCACAGTGGGAGAGAGTGAATCTATTTATTTTGAGAGAGAGAGAGAGAGCATGAGAGCATGCACATGGGCAGGGGAGGGGCAGAGAGAGTGGGAGAATCTCAAGCAGGCTCCATGCTGTCAGTGGTAGAGCCTTACATGGGGCTCGATCTCAGAAACTGCGAGATCATGACCTGAACCAAATAAACCGACTCAACCGACTGAGTCACCAGGCGCCCTGAGACTGAGAATCTTAATCAGGGTCCATGCTCAGTACAGTAGCTGACATGGGGCTCGATCTCATGACCCTGGGATCATGACCCGAGCCACAATCAAGAGTCAGATGCTCAAACAGCCGCCCCAAGCCTCATTTAATCTGTAAGTTCCTCTCTTCTTTTCCCTGTAATTTATTTATTGAAGAAATCGGGTTACTTGTCTTACAGTCTACAGCTTGCTGAGTATATCCCCTTGGTATCATCAACGTGTTCTTCTGTCCAAAGTTTTCTTTAAAAATGTATCTTTAAATAAAATGTTGAAAACAATAGTATAGGTAGTATGTAGTTTTGGCAAAATTATAAAGGTAGTGGGTAGGAGTTCAGGCGACACTGCTCTCAACTGTCCCTTATGTGCCTAAGTATGGACCTTCACATCTGTAATGTTTTCTCTTCAGTCACACCCTGAAATTCTGCGTGGACTCCATGCATGAGGGATTGGTAAGGTAAGCACACTCCTCCTCCAGACTTCTGAGTACTTAGACTTAGGTATCCTCTGGCTGTTTCCTTCAGGATGCGGGCTTGCCAGACCTCCTCCACACCCACATCTGACTGCCTATCTTTGTCCATTTTCCTGTCCATTAACATCTCCATTAGAAGCTGGCCTTCAAAATGAAGACTGAAATGCAAGACTGACCACTTTGTCCCTTAGCAGTGCTGATAAAAGGATCAGTACAATATGTTTCTAAAATATGTTTTTGTTTTTAATTAAAAAAAATTTTTTTAATGTTTTATTTATTTCTGAGAGAGTGAGAGAGAGAAAGAATGAACAGGGGAGGATCAGAGAGAGAGGGCGACACAGAATCTGAAACAGGCTCCAGGCTCTGAGTTAGCTGTTAGCAGAGAGCCCGATGCGGGGCTCGAACCCACGAACCGGGGCTCGAACCCACGAACCATAAGATCATAACCTGAGCCAAAGTCAGACGCTTAACCGACTGAGCCACCCAGGCGCCCGTTTTTATTTTTTAAATGATTTTTAACTGCAAGGGAGTAGGCTTAAGCTCCGGAAATAAAATATAGGTCAGTCCATTATCTACATACAAATGAAGGAATACTGCCTGATCTAAAATACGTTTTTGAATATCAGTTTTATTTTTTCCTCATCGATGCAGAGAAGATAGCTTAGTGTAACATCAAGTCTTTGGAAAAAAAAAAAAAAGAAAATCAGAAAGCAAAACTTGTCCAAAGCAAACATGCAATCATGACATAATTCTGTCAACAACCTAGGCTTAGAAATGTAAGCAGCTTGGGAAAGGAGAGAAATATTCTATTTTTGTTAGTTCTGTCCTTGGACTGACAAGATTATTTGGTTGAAAAGCTTTTTGTTGTAAGTTGTATTATTGAAGGGTATGGGAGACACAGGGCAGAGGCTGGCTCACTGGGAGAGGGGGCACTGACTCACGCACACTTGGCAAGACTGAGGACTAGGGGTTTTTTTATTGTTCTTTCTGAAATCTGTTCTTATGTGATGGCTAGTGACACATGGCTACTACCTCTACTCGTTAAGGCAGAGGCCGTATACGTTGTGGACATTATTCACAACAAGTGCACAAAATGGTAAAGGAGCAGCTCTTGGTTGATGGAGCCTCCTACTGAGACATGACTGCACCAGATCCACAGCCTGCATGGACAAAACTTCCAGAAAGTTCTATGGGGAGCTTAAGCACCAGGGAAGGAGAACTCTTCCTCATCATTTCCCTCCTCTGTAAGGAACTGAGCTTTTGCATAATACAAGGTGACAGGTAAAGAACAGACTGATGTTTTTTCCTGCTCTCTCATGGTATTGTTTCAAGAAAACACAGCAATCTGTTTGTGCCCTTGTTTTTTTTAGAGATAGGAGCATACTATAGATATACACCTATAAGAAATGAAAATGTTTACTTTTTTTTTTTGGCACGAGGGCTGAAGAATTATTAAATACATAAATGCTTGACTTAAGGTTTTAAGATAGAAGAGTTTAAAAAAAAATTTTTTTTTTAAATGTTTTATTTATTTCTAGGAGAGAGAGAGACAGCGTGAGCAGGGGAGGGTCAGAGAGAGAGGGAGATACAGACTCTGAAGCAAGCTCCAGGCTCTGAGCTGGCGGTCAGCACAGAGCCCAATGCGGGGCTCAAACCCACGAACTGTGAGATCATGACCTGAGCTGAAGTTGGATACTTAACTGACTGAGCCACCCAGGCGCCCCATTAAGATAGAAGAGTTTAATGAAAAAAAATAAATAAGAATATTGTCTGATCTGAGAATCAACAATAGCAGGGACTAAAATTATCACCAGAAAAAATAGGAACCAGATGCTTTTGTTTGGGGGAGGGAGATCGGAATGTACATGGAATATTAATAGTAAGGAATGATTTAATCAAGTTGATTAATTTCAAATTGTTTAAGTCACGTGGGTCCAACTTGTAGCTGTCTATTTTCACAAAAAAATATATATTTCCTGGGTTGTAACCTGTGCAACTTTGGCTTTGGGCATTTGAGGAAACAAAGAAAAAACTCTTTGCTATCATGATTTCATCCTTACGAGCTTTCTCCCCTGTATATGGATACATCTAACATCTGTCATTAAAATCTATGCCATAGATAGGATTAATTCCACCTATAGCTGATTGTATTTCTCAAGGCAAATATCCCCAAAAATATCACGTATGGAAAGCTATACAAATACATAGATGGACAGACCAAAAAAAAAAAAAAAAAAAAAAAGACAGCCTGCACAAGCGCCAAAGAGTTTGTGCGGAGCTAGAAAGAAAACAAATCCGCCTGGGTCAGAGGTATGGGGTTAATTTCTCTTGCTGAGGCTCAGGTTTCCCATCATGGGTCTTTAACGGTTCATCTAAATTAAAGTAGAGGAGTGTCTTTCTTCTTTGTTAACCAAACATGCCCAGGTACAGCTGCTTCTCTTTCTGATGGTAGCTGCTGAGTTCCGACTGAGTTAGCTGGAGGTACCTCCGGACGTTGGCGTCTTAGAATAGGGCAAAAGAGGCAATTAGGAGACACAGTTAGAACATGATCACACCTTGCGGTAGGAAAGGATTGTTCACACACTTCCTTTTTTAAAATTTTTTTTTTAACAACTTCTACTTTTATAGAGTCAGATATTTTTTCGGCATGGGTAAAAATAATAAACAAGTCCCTTTAAAATGTTCAAAACAAGCATATTGATTATAAACACTCAGGGGAAAGACCAAGTTATTGTCACTGGCCTATGCAAGTTAGCATTTTTACCCCCACTTTAGAGATCAGGTTATTTTACAGCAATAGGGTCAGAGAACTACAAATGACATTCCAGATAAATGATAAAAACCACCAGTACCATTTTGAATCAAGATTCTAGTCTTGCAAAGGACTTCCTATAGTAGGTTTGAGGAGGACCAGATTTCTTTTTTTTTTTTTTTAATGTTTTTTATTTATTTCTAGGAGAGAGAGAGAGACAGCGTGAGCAGGGGAGGGTCAAAGAGAGAGGGAGTCACAGACTGAAACAGGCTCCAGGCTCCGAGCTGGCAGTCAGCACAGAGCCCGACGCGGGGCTCGAATCCGCGAACCGCGAGATCATGACCTAAGCGAAAGTCGGACGCTTAACCGACTAAGCCACCCAGGCGCCCCAAGGAGGACCAGATTTCTGAATCTGGAAAGAATCATTTGGGTTTATTTTGGAGATCTCATCTGCAGATATTAAGATCATTCTAGAACAAATTTTTTTTTTTGAAAGTCGTGTGTGTGTGTAAGTATCAGAATAAACATTCTCTGGGAAAATAAGTTTGTTCATATCTATAAAATATGCAGAGTATTTTTTCCTCTCCAGAGCCCAGGAATCTTCCTGTGAAGAAACACACATAAAAGCGGGTATATGCATTTAGATGCTATTTTAGCCCATCTTCCATGTGGCCTCTTCTCTGTCTTCAGTTGTGGAGTTTGTTCTGCCAGACCTCAGGTTGATTTCTGGGGTATTGAGGATGATTTGATAGTTCTCTAGCTGCATTTGTGGGACGAAGCAAGCCTAGGGTCCTCCTAAGCCACTGCCATCCCCTCCACCCCACACATACTTCTGATTTGAAAAATCCTTCTAAGATCTAAATACATCACAACTATTCTTTGCAATAGTAAATCTCATGCATTAATACCACTTTGAATTTAAAAAAAAATCTCTGTACAGTCAGGGCTGGCTGGTTGTTAATCTGATAATGAAAAGGAGCTTGAAGAAAAAGTTATTGACACAGCAGAGCCTCTAAAGATACTCTACATGGTTGGCAGTCCATCTGTGTTCTTGAAGATAAAAAACATGAACAAATGCCTCATGTTTTATGTCTGTTAACTCACAGTGGCTTTCCCATTCTTTTATTTTGATTTTAAAGATTTTTGGGGTGGCTCATTCGATTAAGTGTCCGACTTCGGCTCAGGTCATGATCTCACAGTTCCTGGGTTCAAGCCCTGTGTCAGGCTCTGTGCTGAGCACTTGCTCAGAGCTTGGAGCCTGCCTTGGATTCTGTGTCTCCGTCTCTCTCTGCCCCTCCCCCACTCATGCTCTGTCTCACTCTGTCTCTCAAAAGTAAATAAATGTAAAGAAAAAACATTTTTAAAGATTTTATTGTTAAGTAATCTCTACACCCAACATGGGGGCTCGAACCCACAACCCCGAGATCAAGAGTCACATGCTCCACTGACAGAGCCAGCCAGGAGTCTCCCCCCTCTCCCCCTCCATTCATTTAGGGCATTTTTGCTGCATTGTTATACTGGGGGACCTTCTACTTCTAGCATGTAGTAGCCACTCTAAGCCAGAATGCAAAATGGGAGAGAATTTTCAGTGCTGAAACACCAACAAAGGAGTGAGTCGGTACCACTGCATGGTATCTTTGCCTTGGAAACAAGTACCCCAGTCTCACATTCTCTCTAGGTAGGCTTGCCCCTTTTCTAGGTCATACCTGGGCTTAGCGGGGCTAAAGAATAAAATGATAGCTAAAGCAAAGGCCAGCCCCGGCTGGGGAACTGGCAGAAATGAAGATCATCAAGTATATTGATTGGAATATAGATCCTAGTCAGTTACAATCTTGGAACGGAAACTTGAAAAACAGTGCTTTAAATCTCTTTCACTGGGGGAAGGAAGGGAGATGGTGTATATGCCTGCTGAAGCGTAATGCTTCTGGAGGATATACAATATTGCTTTCCTGTGGAAGCAAGAACACAGGAATAGAGGCCGGTTATTCAAACACCTCTTTATGCTTTCTCAATTTTTTTTTAATTTTTTTATTTATTTCTAGGAGAGAGAGAGAGACAGCATGAGTAGGGGAGGGTCAGAGAGAGAGGGAGATACAGACTCTGAAATAGGCTCCAGGCTCTGAGCTGGCAGTCAGCACAGAGCCCGACGTGGGGCTCGAACCCACGAACCGTGAGATCATGACCCAAGCGAAAGTCGGACGCTTAACCGACTATGCCACCCAGGCGCCCCATGCTTTCTCAATTTTTAACTATGTGACTATACTATTACCTATTCCAAAAAAAAAATTCAAGGGGCGCCTGGGTGGCTCAATCAGTTAAGCATCCGACTCGTGATGTCGGCTCAGGTCATGATCTCACAGTTCATGAGATTGAGTCCCGCATTGAGCTCTGCGCCAACAGTGTGGAGCCTGCTTGGGATTCTCTCTCCCCCTCCTTCTCTCTCTCTGCCCTGTACCCTGTTGGTGTGTGTGCCCGTGTGCGTGCTCTCTCTCAAAATAAACCAACATTTAAAAAAATTCAGGGGCACCTGGGTGGCTCAGTCGGTTAAGCATCCAACTTCAGCTCACGTCATGATCTCACGGTTCATGGTTTTGAGCCCCGCGTCAGGCTGTGCTAACAGCTAGCTCAGAGCCTGGAGCCTGTCTTCAGATTCTGTATCTCCCTCTCTCTCTGACCCTCCCCTGCTCACGCTCTCTCAAAAAAAAAAAAAAAAATTTTTTTTTTAAATTAAAAAATTCAATAAATTGAAGAAGTAAAATAAATCCCCCTTCCACAGGTACCACCTCAGCAGGACAATTTTATCTGTCCTTACCCCTTCCATCCCCTTCTCTCTCACCTTTTGGCTGCCTACTGACAGCAGCCAGGAGGTAGTGCTGAGCCTGGTCATAGTCCTGCAGATGAAAAAAGGCCACTCCAGCCCGGTACAAGGCCTTGGCGTTATCAGGCTGTCGTTCCAGAACTTTCTGACTGTATTCTTTCACTCGTTCGTAGTTTACTGGCTCCATCTGAAGGAGACAGGCTAACAGGCCAAATGAAAAGGAGACAGAAGAGCAAAGAGGGGCTTATTACATTATGTTCTACTGGCCAATTCAAGGCTGCATCAAAGGACAATACCAACAACATTCATTCATCCAACTAATACATCGAAATGTGTACCATGTGCCAGACATTCTTCCAGGCACTGGGGACGCACCAGTGAACAAAAGCTTTACATGCCTTCTAATGGACTTTACTATCTACCAAATGCTTATTATGTGCCTACTGTTGGGTTAGGCCCAGCTATAAACTGGAACATACTTTAAATTCTTCTTCACTGTTTCTCTTCTACCCAAGGCTCTCTGTCTGGAACCCTCCATTTAACCACAATGATTGTATGGCTGCTTTATAAACAACAATGGCTGCCATCAATTGTGAGAGGAAACAGCACCATGTTTTGTGCTTAATAAAACATTATCTCATTTAGGGTTGCCTGGGTGGCTGTCAGTTGAGCGTCCGACTTCGGCTCAGGTTATGATCTCATAGTTTGTGGGTTCGGCCCTGCGTTGGGCTCTGTGCTGACAGCTAGCTCAGAGCCTGGAGCCTGCTTCAGATTCTGTATCTCCCTCTCTCTGACCCTCCCCTGCTCATGCTGTCTCTCTCTCTCTCTCTCTCAGAAATAAATAAAAGTTAAAACATTTTTACAAAAAGTTAAAAAAATTTTTAGGGGCGCCTGGGTGGCTTAGTCGGTTAAGCGTCCGACTTTCGCTTAGGTCATGATCTCGCGGTTCATGGGTTCGTGCCCCACGTCGGGCTCTGTGCTGACTGCCAGCTCAGAGCCTGGAGCCTGTTTCAGTCTGTGACTCCCTCTCTCTCTGACCCTCCCCTGTTAACGCTGTCTCTCTCTCTCTCTCCTAGAAATAAATAAAACATTTAAAAAAATAAAAATTAAATTAAAAAAAAAATTTTTTTTAAACCCATTATCTCATTTAATCTTCTCATCCACTCTATGAAACTGGTTAAGTGTTACTATCTCCAGTTAGTGGACAAAGAAATCAAGGTTCAGAGAGATAAAGGAACTTGCCGAAGACCCTACAGCTTCTAGGGGGAATAAGAAATTTGAACCAAGGACTCTCTAATTCCCAAGCCATCGTTTTTAATGATGATATATTTTCACTGTTCCCTTGGATGACAGAATGGGGCTTTGAAATCCAAATCTGTTTAGGAGACAATGCTCAGCCTTTCTGTAATTAAGAAGGGAAATGTGTTTCTTATTTCATGACTTTAGGAATTAAACAGTATTATTTAATCATGGTGCTGAGAAGAAAGGAGAATCGGGCCTTCTGAGGACATTAAAGGGCCTGGGCTTCTGTCTCCATTCCTTCTACAACATCCCCACCAAGTGGTCATATGGTTTATACTTAACCCATTACTGTAGTGTCATGCATTATCTGACAATTGGTTATGAAATACTGACCACAGACTGGGGAGAGCCAAGAGCAGTGGATAAGACGAACAAGACAGACCTCTTGATGAGTAAACACTACTTGTATCCTAGTCCCCAAGTAAAAGGAACAATAAACAAATGAGTTTTCTACGTTGTTTTGAGGAAAACAGAACTGTATTGGGATAGAGTGAATGAACTCAAGAGTCACGCTTGATTAGAGAAGCCTCTCGTAGAAAGTGACTTTTGACCCGAGATCTGAATGACAAGGTTCATTCAAGGGACAGGGCATTCTAGCTGAGGAAGAAGAAATCCTGCAAAGCTGGAAGGCAGAAATGCACTTTGCAAACTCAGTGTATTGGAGGAGCCAGATGACGTCAGGCCCTGCAGGTGAGGGTCAGAGTTCGGGTTTTTTCCCCAAGTCTAACGAGACGCCCTTGGAGGATTTTCGGCAGTGACACGGTCTCCTTTCCTTATCTGTAAAATGGGGATAATCACAAGTACCTTGCAGAATTTGAAGGTGAGAGGTATTGCACTTAAGCTGCCCCATGTGTTACAGGCACTCAATAAGGGAAAACGGCGAATTCAGTAAGTCTTTGTGGAGCATTCCTCAAGCACTCCCAAGTGGAGGCTCTACGAATGGCTAAGCCATTGTCTTTGACTTCAGGTCCACCTGGAGAGTGAAGACACTGGCTGAGCACTCTCTTTAAAAGTGAACATTCCCTTGCCTGTGCCACTCCCTGCACCCATCTTCCGCTTTATTCCTTTCCACAGCGCTTACCTTCTTCCAATACAATATGTTACCTTTGTTCACTGTCCATCTCCCTACTTGAAAACGTGTTCCATGAGAGCAGCCCTCCTTATCTGCCCTATGATACCTCTCTATCCTCAGTACCCAATAAGTAATTGACTTTAATAAACTGAAACACTAGCTACTATAATAACTATTGTTATTTGAGTCTGAGGGTAGCACTGGATACACACTGTAGGGGCGCCTGGGTGGCTCAGTTGGTCAAGCGTCTGTCTTTGGCTCAAGTCATCATCTCCCAGTTTGTGAGTTTGAGCCCCGCATGCGGTTCTGTGCTGACAGCTCAGAGCGTGGAGCCTGTTTCAGATTCTGAGTCTCCCTCTCTTTCTGTCCCTCCTCTGCTCACACTCTGTCTCTGTCTCAAAAATAAATTTAAAAAAGTATTTAAAAAAGCTAGGTTTTCACCAAACCATAGCAGAAAACTAACGTAGTAAAAAAAAAAAAAGTCATTTTTAAACAACCATTACGAAGTATAAAAACTAATCCTAATAATTTCCATAGCCTCGGCTGGGACCCTTAGAATGCTTTCAGAAACTCCAAAATAATTTAAGTAGCTCTCTGTTTTGCCTGTTATAGGACAGACCTAGGAAGTGTCCTTTCTTTTAGACTAATCCTAGTGATACAGATTCTGGCATCCATCTCTTCAGCCAAGTTCACATAGAGATGGGCGATCTTCCTTATCCAAGAGCCGATTTAAAGGAAGGAGAAAAACAAAAAAAAGCTGTCCAAAACATCTAATAATGGCTTACGCCACCAGCTGGAGCAAATGCCTTCTTTCCTCTATTATAAATATCAAAGAGACAACGCCCTAAACGTAAGTTCAGCGTTTTCTCTAGAGCGTGCAAAATTCCCTAAGCCTATCAGCATCACCTGGGAATCTGTTAGAAACGCAAGTCGGTAGTACCTCCCCCAATCAGCCCCATTAAATCGGAATTTCTAGGGAGGGGGCTCAGTTAAGGTTAAGTTTGAAGAAGTATGGCTCTACGGAAACTCATTTAGAGCCCCGTAGATTGGAAATGTATTTCGATTCATGGCAGAATAACTGCATGAGAGCAGAAAAGCACACCCGTGGTTTTTTCCAATGTTCACAGATTTTTCATGTGCCTGCCCTGATACTCTACCCACCCTTCAGCCCTGTTCTTACCAGCTAGATTGTTGTAGCAGTCTGTCTGGGTGGTATGCAGTATGTTCTCTTGTTCAGGTGTGAGGACCGGGCCCTGAGGTCCTAGATTAGGTATCGGGGAGGGCAGACTTGGATCCAGACCCCGCAGCTGAAGCAGAGCTCGATGGTACCTACTTACAGCATCTCGGTACTTTCCTTCTCGGTAACGCTGGTTCCCTTTCTCCTTGTACAGCTGAGCCTCCTGCAGGCGCTTCTCCATAACTCTTTGTCGCCTAGAGCTCTTGCGGAATTTGCAAGTGAAAGAGCAATTGAAGCTCTGGAGATGGGAGCAAAACAACTGATTTAGGTAGCAGATTTAAGAAGGCAGTCAATTACCCTTCTCCAGAACGCCCCCCGGGAATGAGTTTTACTAGTCTCTTCTCTGTAGTAATTTTCTATCTTTAAACGTACAGGACTAATCAGGGAGAGGATGTGGAAATAGTAAAGCCAGGGATTAAGTGATTTCATAAAGAGGAGACTCCGGGATGAAGAGACCCTCCCGAGAAAGGAAGGGCCGTACGAAGGAACTGTGGCAGGCGTGGGAATGCCGGCGGAATTTGCTTCCTCCTTTCTCTTGGACACACCTCCTTGACCCGGAAGTGAAAGAGAATAGGCGGGGACAACTGCTAGAAGGCTACGGGGCTTGCCGCCACCCCTGCTCTTTATTTACACGTATTAAATAAGCATTTGTTTATGTCAGTATCAGAAGCTGGGAACCAAGCTGTGCACCTAATTCACAGGCTTAAACTGACGCGGCCGCAGAGCAGCTCAGTTGCAAGCCCTCCCAGGTCCGCGGCCAACCCTTCGCCCTCAGCAAATGCCCAAGCACGGAAGTCTCCCCCTCAGCTTCGGTTTACGGGCGGAAGCACTTAGAAGACCAGGACCGGTGTCTCGGCAGTTTGGTTATCTAAAGGGTCGCGCGCAATGCGCCACACCGTCCAATCAAAAGCAGCCCCAGAAAAATAATCCCGCAGAAACGAGCCCGCCTCTAAAGTCCCCCCCACCCCCGGACAGATCCACCCAAGAAGGGGAGGGAAATCCCCCGGCAGCTTCGCCAATTGGAAGAATCCGGCCGATAACGGATGACCAATCAGAATTGCAGATGACGATTCAAGTTGGCCAATAAGAAAGCTAAAAGGCGAGGTCGGGGCGTCTGTTGCTGGGTAGAGAAGTTAAAGGATTGAAAGAAGAGGGCCGGGGGTCACTGTATTCCTTGGTTTGGGGAAGCCTTTTGTTTACTAAACAGAAAGACAATTGTCAGGAGGCTTTCAATTCGCAACAGCTTCCCTCCTGGCCTTTTTTTTTTTTTTTTTTAACTCTCAAGAAGCTGGGGCACGTATAGGCAGAAGGGAAGAAAGACTAGCAGGCAAGACTTCAGACGACAGCTCGATCGAAAGCCAGACGGGAGTACGGGTGGTGACGGGGTGGGAGGGGCGTGTGGGAAGGGAGCTCCGGACGTCTGCGCAGAGACCACGGCTGGAAGTACGGAAGGCGGGCGCGCACACGCCGCCGTGCTACGAGGCACTTGAGCCGTAGCCAGTCCTTCCCTTCTCCGGCTCCGGTGCGGCTGCGCGGTGAAACCACTGGCGGCGATTGGCCCAGGGGTGAGAGAGGGCGGGAGGTAAGGGCAGGGAAGTCCGTCGTCCTCGGCGCGCGCCCGCCCGCGGCAGGGGAACCGAGGGGGCAGGAAGGAAAGCTGTTCCCCGCTGCGTTGTTTTGGGCTCGGTGATCCGGAAGGGGGAAGGGAGGAGAAGGGAGAAACAAACACTACGTAGCGGAGGCTGCGCGCGGCCTCCTCTGCCTGCGTGCGTACGTGCGTGCGCTCGCTCGCGCGGGCTCAGTGCTGGCGCGTGAGGCGGAGGCGGGCGGCGGCGGCGCCTGCGCGGTCGGGCTCGGTCGACGGTTCGCAGGGGAGGAGGCGGCGGGAGGCGGAGGAGGCGGCGGTGGCGATGGAGGTGAAGCGGCTGAAAGTGACCGAGCTGCGGTCTGAGCTGCAGCGGCGGGGCCTGGACTCACGCGGCCTCAAGGTGGATCTGGCGCAGCGGCTGCAGGAGGCGCTGGACGCCGAGATGCTCGAGGACGAGGCCGGCGGTGGCGGGGCCGGGCCCGGCGGGGCCTGCAAGGCGGAGCCTCGGCCTGTGGCCGCGTCGGGCGGTGGCCCGGGCGGGGACGAGGAGGAGGACGAAGAAGAGGAGGAGGAGGACGAGGAGGCGCTGCTGGAGGACGAGGACGAAGAGCCACCCCCTGCCCAGGCCTCGGGCCAGGCCGCGCAGCCGCCGCCGGAGCCCCCGGAGGCAGCAGCCATGGAGGCCGCGGCCGAGCCCGATGCTTCCGAGAAGCCGGCGGAGGAGGCCACGGCCGGGTCAGGTGGGGTAAATGGTGGCGAAGAGCAGGGCACCGGCAAGGGGGAGGAAGACGAGCCCGAGGAGCGGAGCGGGGACGAGACGGCAGGATCCGAGGCGCCGGGTGACAAGGCCGCGGAGGAACAGGGTGAGGAGCTGGCAGCGGAGCCGGGCTCCCAACTGCCTCGACCCAGCACCCAGCCGTGCACCGCGGGGTCCGTTTCCTTGTTCTCACTTGCCTGAAAGCGCAAGATTCCCATCGCCTTTTGGTGGGACTCCCTCCCCAGGGGAGGTGGCTTTCATTCTCTGCCCACCTTTCTGGAGGGGTGGGCTGCCCCTGGCGACCACGCTATCTGCAAGAGGGAGGTTCCTGCCTCACTTGGTTCTTTGGTGGTAGTGGATGGAAGTGAGCGATTGTGCATGCGAACTGCCTGTGGGCTACCTGTGGAGCAGCCTCCCCGCGGTTCGGGTTATCTTATCCTAGAGCGGGAACGCGCTGAGAAATTGGCTGTTGCAGGGACAGCCCGACCGGACTGTTGGAGGCTTTGGCCTTCGGGTTACCTGACTATTGACGTTTCCGCCTAAAAAATAATTAAGCAATAGGCGAAGTTCGCCAAAGTCCGCTCCATCCCATTGTTGGAGCTTGAGCCACACAGTGAATCTGGAAATCTAACCTTGCTCCTGCTTTAGCAGCCAGTGGTTTGAGGGTGTGGAGTTTAATAGTTAACTAGCGAAGAGAAAATCTTAATCTAGTGCATTTGGAGTCAGTTAACGCTCCTCGACTAGCCGTTTTGCCTTGCTTGAATTCTTACGATTAAGTTTGAATTTTCCCACGGGGCCTGCCTATGGACAAATTTGTGGATTGGCTGTGCACTTTGTTAAAGCCGTTTACATTTTAGGTCCCCGACTTCCTGAATTGAAACGATTGAGGTGTTGGTGGGTCCATTGAGTAACCTCGCGGAGTGGCTCCAGGGAGTTAGTGACCTTTCTCTCTTCTTTCGAAGTGATTGGATGGTTAGAGCTGATCCATAACTGTCATAGTAGGCAGGAAAACTAGAGGTGCTTCCAAACCCTACTATGTAGTGGGTTGTCTTAGCTCTTATAATACGTCTTTTTAAGCTGCTATTAGTAATCATGGTATAATTGGAACCCATTCTAAGATAGTCACATGCAACTTGCAGAGTGTTTGTTCTATGTCCTGGAACAAAAATCCCATTACATAACCTTTGACTTAATGTGTATCCCAAATACCAGATAAAAAAGGTTAGGGGATAAAGGACTGCTTTAAATAAATTATTATTTCAAATCTTAAGTGTTGCAAAGTACAAAAGCTTGAAGACAAATTCCAGGTTTTTTTATCCTCTTGCAGAGAATGTTGCTAAATATGTGATAACACCTTTCTGCCCCAAATTACGTGCAGTAAAGATGCAGTATTATTTATGGGTCTCTTGTGACTTAATGGTTTGCTCTTGGCAATTTTGGGTTAAAAAAAAAAATCCATGATAGAAATACAGCTGTGAATGTGCACCTCAGTCCATTTGCTGTATAAGTAAAAGCTGTGGATGGCTGTGCATTGGAAAGCTGGAAAAGCAAACTCTTTAAAAATAAAAACAAAACACGCTCAGGCTTCTGTGTCATGAAGCTGTGGGAAAATGTTGGAAAATGTATATTAAGTGCCTAGTTTATATCCAGACCTGACAATCAAGGATCAAAATTAAATTAACCTATGAGGCTTTTTAAAGACTTAGGGGAGTTTTTAAAATGTCATGTTGGTGGGAATATCTGCAAGTTTGACCTGATTTAAGCAGATAAATTTAGAATGCAAAAATTGTCCAGTTCTTATCTACTGCTTGACTGTAGTTAGCCCATAATGTCTGTCCTTTTTCTTTCTTTTTCTTTTTCTTCTCTTCTCTTTCTTTTCAATGAAATAGCCAGCCAGTAGCAGGAAAATGATCTTTGAAAATAAAACGTTTTGTGGATGCAGTGGGAATAATCACCTGGCTATTCTGATTAGACAGATACTCAGCCCCTTTAGTTTCTCTTGGTTCTGAGCTTTTTCTGCACCCCAAGATGAAAACTGCTGATTTTCTTTCCCTCCTTTTTGTAGGAGATGACCAAGATAGTGAAAAGTCAAAACCAGCAGGCTCAGATGGTGAGCGGCGGGGGGTAAAGAGACAGCGGGATGAGAAGGATGAACATGGCCGAGCTTACTATGAATTCCGAGAGGAGGCTTACCACAGCCGGTGAGGGAAACGGTCCCCTTCATTGAAAGGGGTGTCTACTCTGATTTGTTGTCTACCTGATGTTGATTGAAGAGTATGGAAAAGAGGGGGTGGATTAAAAATGCAGTAGGTTTTTCTAGACGTAAGTTTTAGATTGAATCCACTCTGAAAGCTCCTGTTGCTCTTTTCTCGTTTGCTGAAAGAAGCTGTCTGCTGGAATTATATTCTGATAGTTTGAAGCTTTATACAGACGCCCCTCAAAGAAGAGGGCTTGGATACACCGTATTTGCTTTTCTCTCATACCTGTAGCTCAAAGTCTCCACCACCCCCTGAAGAAGAGGCAAAAGATGAGGAGGAGGATCAAACTCTTGTGAACCTGGACACATGTATGTATAAGGCAGACAGGTTGGGGTTTTCAACCAACCAAAAGTGATTTTGGAGATTAAAACTTCATGGCCTGCAATTTTTAAGAGATTTAGCAATAGGAGACTTTGTATCCGTTCTTGACAACTGGATATATTTGTGTTCTGTTGAGGACCCTCATGGGTTGGGCTTCTTAATAAACAGATTACTTCTCTCTAACAGATACCTCGGATCTCCATTTTCAAGTGAGCAAAGACCGCTATGGAGGGCAGCCGCTTTTCTCAGAGAAGTTCCCCACCCTTTGGTCTGGGGCAAGGAGTACTTACGGCGTGACAAAGGGGAAAGTCTGCTTTGAGGCCAAGGTAGTATATGTAGCTCATTAAAATCATTTGTTGATGAAATTATTTATTAAACTGCAATGGACTGGTTCTTGCCCACCCGTATTTTATTAATGCAGAAAAAGGCACCACACTTGAACGTTTATCTTAGCTCCAGTAACCAACAAGTTGACCCCCATGGCTTTGGCTTAAGTTCTTTGACAGCTGGTATTCTGATGTTGAGTTGTGACGGTTGTTCCCAGTTTATATAAAAGTCTTACCTTGTTAACTCAGACTTTGCTCCTGAGTTGGTCAGAGTATCTGAAAGTT